CTCTCCAAAGGGCCACCTGCTCCTCTCCAGGTACCCGACACCAAGGCTAGTTCTAGATCGGGTCACCAGGCTCTGTGCCCAGTTCCCACACTCAGAGGCCCTAGATCTCCAAAGTCATCAAGCTGCAGAGAGAGCAAGGCCAGGCCTGAGGCCAGTGAATCTGTGGCCAGGCTGGGATGGGGACCAAGATGCTTACCTTCCCTCCCAGGGCTGCCCTGCTCCCCAAGATGTCATTGTTGAATTGAGTCAAGATCCTGGAGGGCCCAAAGGACTCTGACCAGCAGAGAGTTGGCAAGTCTCTAGCCTGGGGGGAAGGCGGCCATCAGCCCAGGCTCTTTGGAAGCCCAGAGAGCTGGCAGAGGCTATCCCAGGAGGCAGACTGGTGTGAGGGGGACTCCAGGCTAGTACATCTGATAAGTGTCTAACAAGACTCCTTTCTCCCACAGAGCTGTGCAGCGGGAGTGTGGCCTGGATGTCATACAGGGAGGGCCTGAGGGCAGTGGTGGCAGCTGTGTGAGCCCCTGGGTTAATTATTAATATCCCCAGAGTCACATGCAAGAGAATGTGCTGAGGGAGGACCTCCCCAACCTGGCCTCTCTTCTTGGCCAGAATCTCTCCAGGACTCATCCGGCTCCCCACCAGGCTCGAGTCGGAAGATCAGCTCGGTCTTCCCTAAGGCCTCAGCTAGCTCATCCCACTCTGGCCCCCAAGGGACTCCCGACTCTTCCCTGAGACTTTTCTGTGAGTTCCCATCTCTGGGCCTTTGCTCTTGCTGTGCCCTCTGCCTGCTCCGTGGCTGGGCCCAGCTCACTTCCTCAGGGAGCTCAGTAAACACTGGCAAATTGAATTGCTCAGAAAATAAACAAAGTGTCAAATATACTGCCTGGCACTTAGGAGATGTACCTCCCTAAATTGGCTAAGCAAACAGATAATCCAAAATGAGAAAAGAGAAAGGATCCATCCAGTCCTTTCTTGTGCTTCTGTTCCCCAAACTGATCTCCATTCATTTCTTACAAGGAGTCCTGCTCTCTCTGATCCAGGCCTCTGCCTGAAATTTAGCCTGACCTTCAATGTGTCTGAACAGTCCTATCCTAGGTGTCAAGAAGCCTTTGAGGCTCAGCACAGTGGCTCACACCTTGAATCTTCCTACTTGTTGCCTGGTACAAATGCGATGACTTGCTCAGTGGCTGTGAGTTCTGTTGGATTAGGACTGGCTGCGGGGCCTTGAAACACTGGGGGATTTTCTCCCTCGCTAAAGCTGCCTGGATAATTTGCCAACTTGGTTTCATCAGTGATTCTAAATTGCCCAAATGCACAGGCTCTCACTTGAGCCCTGTCTGGTCCCTTGCTATTTCTCTAGTCTTTCTCACTGTCTCGCTGTTGTTTTTCTCCAGTTTCCACAAAAGCAGAGAGACTTGACAGCTTCACACAGAAGCTGAAAACCTTCTCCAAGCCTCCTCCTTGCTTGTCTCCCGGAGTCTGTCTTCCGTCTCTCTTGGCTTATAAAGCCAGTGACTCATTTACTGAGCCAGGAGTCTCCGCAGGGCTTTCTTTCTTGTAGGAAATGTGAAAGGAGCAGGTGACACCGTCCTTCATGCCCACCCTCTCCTGGCCCTAGCTTTTAAAATCTAAACCCCTAGATATGTTGTATCATGAGCGGTGGTGGAATTGCTGGTTTTCCCCTTGACATAGGCAGCCCTCCTTAAACCAGGGCCCTTGTATCCCCAGTGCTAGATCCCCAAACTCCAAACTCCACAAGGGCACAGAATCACCTGTTTCCTTGCTAAGCTTTCACATAATCACAACCTCTGGCTCTCCCTGGAAATCTAGAAAACTATAGAAATGTGTCTAGTGCCCTTTCAAGATGCCAAACCTTCTCATCCTTCTTAGGCACCAGAAATCATGAAGTGAAGTGAAGTTGCTCAGTCGTGTCCAACTCTTTGCAACCCCATGGACTGTAGCCCACCAGGCTCCTCAGTCCATGGAATTTTCCAGGCAAGAATACTGGAGTGGGTTGCCATTTCCTTCTCCAGAGGATCTTCCCGACCCAGGGACTGAACCCAGGTCTTCCGCATTGCAGGCAGACTCTTTACCATCTGAGCCACCAGGGCATGCATAATTTCTAATTTGTGATAGAAATTTTCAAATGAAAATGATAGGGTTGCTCATCAGCTGTCCCTGGCAGGAATTTTCAGACCGAACTGGTGGAATCGTACAGACATCACCCACACTCACCCAGATGACCTGGGAGTATATGGGTGCCTATCTGTGTGAATTCTGAGAGACTCTGTGGCAGCGGGGTGGGGGTGGGATGGGATATTAGGGACTGCTCATGCAACTGTTTGGATGCGGGTTGAACGAAGAGTGTGCAAAAAACCTTAGTGGGTGTTTGAAAGCCTAGGTATGTGTTTGTGTTAAGCTCCTGAGGGTCAAAGACACTGCTTGAATAAAAAATGCTTTGCATTTTTTCACTGTTTTCATTTCAGTGAAACAAAACAGAGGGATGGCTCATGGATAGTGAGTTAATCAGGCTTAAATGAAGTCTAAAGAACAATGTTGGAGGAGTCCAATAACTCTTATCATCATCATCAGAGTCATCATCAACAGAGGGTAAAAACAGTCATCATTTTTGAGGACCTAACAAGTAGCATTCTGCTGTGCGTACACACACACACACACACACACACACACACACACACACACACACACACACACACACACACACACACATCATGGCACATATAGATCAAGGCAGTCTTATCTTCTATGGGTCCTCTATTCTGCACTTGTCTTGGAACCTTTAGCCCAGGACTTGTTTTGTGAGATTCAGTGCAAAATAAAAGTGCAGAGCACCTTGCTCAGAACAATTATGAATTTCTTTTTTTTTTCATTTATTTTTATTAGTTGGAGGCTAATTACATCATTGCAGTGGTTTTTGTCATACATTGAGATGAATTAGCCATGGATTTACATGTATTCCCCATCCCAGTCCCCCCTCCCACCTCCCTCTCCACCCGATCCCTCTGGGTCTTCCCAGTGCACCAGGCCCGAGCACTTGTCTCATGCACCCAACCTGGGCTGGTGAACTGTTTCACCCTAGATAATATACATGTTTCGATGCTGTTCTCTTGAAACATCCCACCCTCGCCTTCTCCCAGAGTCCACAAGTCTGTTCTATACATCGGAGTCTCTTTTTCTGTTTTGCATATAGGGTTATCGTTACCATCTTTCTAAATTCCATATATATGTGTTAGTATACTGTAATGGTCTTTATCTTTCTGGCTTACTTCGCTCTGTATAATGGGCTCCAGTTTCATCCATCTCATTAGAACTGATTCAAACAATTATGAATTTCAAGATGGCAACAGCAGAGCATTAAACAACTGTGGGACCCTTTCGAGCAGGCTGTGACAAAACAGCTCTCAGGCCCATGAAGCAGCTCCTGCTTTCACCTCTGGCTACGTGCACTGCTCAAATTTTTCTCCACTGGGGAGACTTCCTCTCACAGCTGGGGGTGTAATGGAACAGCAGTTCATTTTCAGTTTGTCTCCTTCATACCAAGATAATGTGTCCTTGAACCAAGCTTGAGGCTTCTCCCCTTCCATTAGCCATTTTCTGGATATCCCACATAATGTATGGGTGTGAGACGATGCAAGAGGCATCAGGGCAACAGTGTTAGGCAACACTGGTGTTTGAGCCATCTGTTTATAGAGATTAGTTATACTATTTGGATCTGCCTAAGCTTGATCTGGGATATACAACATCTAAATAATGATGGACTGGATGCCTGGCCTGACCAACCTAATGATTCCGTGGGTCTGCCAGCACCCAGTTCATGACAGGCAGTTCTAGCCACACGGTCACATGACCACCCAGAGTCATGAACTCAGTCAATTCCAAGGTCAGCAATTACTCTTCTAATGTTGCTGAGGCTTGCCCAAGGCTCCCTATAACATCTTCCTCCACGATGGAATCTACCTTATTGTTTTACATAAGTGGCAGGACTGCTCATAATGTAGCCTTGGACCTGCTGCAGAGTTTGTTCCAGTTCTAAAAATCACTCAAACGAACTTCCCTGGTGGATGAGTGGCTAAGACTCCATGCTTTCAATGCAGGGGACCCAGCCTCGATCCCAGGTCAGGGAACTGGATCCCACATGCCACAACTAAGACCTGGAATGGTCAAATAAACAAATGTTTAAAAGTAAATAAATACATAAAATTTAAAAGAAATCACTCAAAATTAGCACATCACCTGATAAATGATTGGGATAGAGTGCCAAAAATGGTGTATTCTTCCTCCACAATCCAAACAGGAACAGAGGCATGAAGACAGAGGAAAACCAGAAAGCAAGTAGTAAAATCCTGGAACTAAGTCAACCATATCAATAATGTGTGTAATGATTAGATGCAATTGTACTAAAATACCAATTAAAGGGCAGAAATCCTCCAGTGAACAGAAAAGACCCAACTATTAATATATGCTGTCTATAATTATGCTCACTTTAAATGTAAAGACACAAATCAAGTGAAAATAAAGAATGGATAAAGGTACGCTAAGCTGGCAGTGAGCCTAGGAAAGCTGTGGTGGTGGTAATGCTATCAGACATGGTGGACTTTTAAGGGGATGAGTGTTATCCAAGCTAACAGGGAGCTCCCTATGGCTACAATCATAATAATCATACATGCATGTGTGTGTGTGTGCAGCAACAGAGCTTCGAAACATTTGAAGAAAAAAACTGACCAAAACAGGAGCGGACTAGGCTAATCTATAACAATCACCGAAGCTTTTTACACCCCACACCATTAGAGGACAGAACAGCTCTGGACTAAATAATAAGGAAACACATAGAAGAACAGAAGAACATTGTCAACCACGTTGATTGGAAGTGACATTTACGAAGATGAAACTCAACAGCTGCAGCACTTTCTTTTCCAGCAAACGTGCTACCTTCACCATGATAGACCATATGTTCACCCACCAAACGATATTCATAAAATTCAAAGAATGTGCCAAGTATGTCCTCTGCCTACAGTGGAAGGAAATGAAAATAAATGACAATGAGATACATGGAAAAATCTTAAATATTTGGAAATCATACAACACACATAAAGAATCCATAGGTCAGAGACATATTAAGGGAAATTAGAAAATATTCTGAATGAAGTGATATAAAACCTAAACATATCAAAACTTGTGGGATATCCTGGGGCAGTGGTTAAGGGAAATTTATGGCTTAAAACACATTGTAAAAAAAACAAACATATTGTAGAAAAAAAATATAAAGTGGGGAGGTTAGTCCACCAGTGTTCTCATGGCTTCGTGGTGACAACGCAGAGGAGGAGCACTGCAGGGCAAGAGACTCCTTTCTCTTGGTTTTCCTGCCTACATGCTCCCACCCCCTCACACAGTAGCCTGCAATCTCTAAAATACAAAACTACTGTGTCTCTCCCTTGCTCTAAACCCTCCCACCGCTCCCCACTGCTTCAGGGTGAAACTCAAAACGGACCTCAGCAAGGTGACCTTTTATGACTTTGCTCCTACTCACCTTTATCTCTCATGCCTCTGGGTGCTGTTTGCCTGTGTGCTACATCTGGCTTTCTGAACTGTCCCTTGAAATTGGAAACGTTTTTTTCCTCCTCTCCTTCACCCCTAGAACTAGGGTTGCCAGATAAAATACAGGACTCCCAGTTAAACCTGAATTTCAAATAAATAATGAACAACTTTTCAGTATAAGAATGTCCCCAATATTGCATGGGGCGCACACACACACACACATAAATATACACTAAAAAACTATTCGCTGTTTATATGAAATTCAACTTTAACTGGATGTTAAATTTTTTATTTTTATTTGCCAAATCTGGTGACCTTGGCCAGAACAGGTGCCTGGTACTCCATCTGCCCCTTCTCTGCTTCTCTGCATGGTGACTCCTTTTCCAGGGTCAGGTCTCAGCTTGGAAATAACATACCCGCCCCCTGCCCAGCCCCTGAGAGACAGTTCTCCCTCCCCCTTTCTCAGGCTGAGGCTACAGTCGTTTCATTTCTGTGCCTGAGCTGTGCCCACCAGGCAGGGTAGGTCCACCTCATTCACTGCTAACTCCTCACCCTGTGGCACAGTGTCCAGCACTTGGTGGCCACTCAATAGGTACTTGTTGAAGGAACAAGCACTGATTTAGGACCCAGCTGTGGGGATAGCGAGCTGGCCCCTTCCGCTCCCTCCGCCCCCAGTGGGGGATGCATCAGTTATCTATCACTGCAAACAAACCACTCCTGACATTAGTAACTTAAAAAATACCGCAAGCATGTAGTCTGCTCACGAATCTACAAAATGAGCCGAACTCAGTGGGGACAGTTCATCTCTGCATCCTGCACCCCCTCATCCCAACACATACATAGTTGGGGCAGGAGAATCCATGTCCAAGGTAACTCACAGGGCTTTCAAGTGGGCACTCTATGCTGCTCCCCTCCACATGTGCCTCTCCATGGGGTGGCCTGGGCTTCCTTATAGCATGGCAGCTAGGTTCCAGGAGCAACATCTCAGAGGAGACAGAAAAGGGCAGATGCTAGTTTTCTAAGGCCTAGATCTGGAAACTAATACAGTGCCATTTCCACCATATTCTATTGGTTAAGTAGCTGCGGAGTCCATATTCAAGGAGATGGGTCATAGACCCCCATCTCTAAATGGAACAATGCTAAAGAATTTCATGACTGTGTTTTAAAGTGACCACAGGAGAGAACACTCACTACCAAGGAACTGACAGAGCCCAGCCTCAGCACCAGGCTCAGTGTATAAGGGGTCGCAGGATGCTATTCTTTCCATGGGTGAGTGTGCAGCAGACATGTCAGTATGTTCAAGGAATCTGGGAGTGAGATAGGGCAGGAAGGATGGAGGGAGTGAGAGAGATAAGGAAAGAGTCCTCCCTCGGAGGATGAAGGACATGAAGCAGCTCACCCGATGCAGGCACTAATGAGAACAGTACCTGAAAGGAGGCTGTGCAGCTGGCACCTGTCAGGGCTCCCTTGGGATGTTGTAAACAAAAAATTCCAAGTTGAATTATTTTCTTTTGGTTTTGGGGAAAAAAACAGTCTATAGAAAGTTGACAGAATAGTCAAATGAACAATGCATACACCTGTCACCTAGTGTTGCCAATGGTTAACATTTTATTGCATTTGCAATTTGAAAGTAAGTTACAGATAAGGTATTTCCCTACCCAGTCCTTTGGCCTGCACTCCCTCCCCCCGCCACCCTTGCCCCCTCCAGCAGTGTACTCTCTGCACCAGTGGTTTCAGCCAGGGGTGATTCTGTCCCCCAGGGGATAGCTGACAAAGTCAAACAGAGACTTTTTTTTGGCTGTTGGCTGTACCATGCGGCATGTGGGATGCAGGATCTTAGTCCCTCAACCAGGGATTGAACCTGTGCCCCCTGCACTGGGAGCACAGAGTCTTAACCACTGGACCAGAGACATTTTTTAATTTACATTTTTTTTAAACTAAGAAAAAATTCACCATTTAACCATTTTAAAGTATTTCTCATGATGAGAGGCAACCTTCATTCCTGTGTGCTCAGTTGTGTCTGATCTTTGTGACCCCATGAACTGCAGGCCCGCCAGGTTCCTCTGTCCATTGGAATTTCCCAGGCAAGAACAATGGAATAGATTGCCATTTCCTCCTCCAAAATCTTCCCAACCCAGGGATCGAACCCAAGTCTTCTGCACTGGCAGCCAGATTGTTTACCACTGCACCACCTGGGGATTTTTATTCCTAGCTAATCCCAAAACGGGATTCCCTGGTGGCTCAGAGGATAAAGAGTCTGCCTGCAATGCGTGAGACCCGGTTCGATCCCTGGGTCGGGAAGATCCCCTGTACTCTTGCCTGGAAAATTCCATGGACAGAGGAGCCTGGTAGGCTACAGTCCATGGGGTCGCAAAGAGTCGGACACGACTGAGCAACTTCGCTTTCACTTTCACTAATCCCAAAACATCTCTGACTTTTCAGCTTGTTGCACCTGAACCGGTTTGGTGCTCCTGACACCTAGTGGGCAGGGACCAGAAACGCTGCTGAACTTCCAGAAGAGGGAATTATTTGGTCCCAAAATGTTGAGGCTGAGAGTCCCTCTACACCATCAGAGCACCACCATTACATTCAAGGAAATCAACGGCCATTCAGTCACTGGTCTCAAGAGTGTCCCTTCTAGCATTTTTATTTCAGTTCAGGAGGCAAGGTTTACATATTTGGTGGTCAGGTCTCTTTAGTCTCTTTTAATATAGAAGAGTATTCTCTGCCCCACACTTGGCCTTTTTGTCTGATTACTTTTTCTAAGAGTCGAAGCCAGTTTTAGCACTGGATATAGTATTCTGGATTTACCTGATTGCTTCCTCAAGATCAGATTCGTGGTAAACCATGCTGGTAAGAATACTAGTTTGACGATTACTGCATCACATCAGGGGGCTCATAAGATGAGGTTGCTATGCCATTTATGATACTGAAATTGGATGATGATGTAGCTCACAAGATAGAAGGTGCTGCCCTCCACATCCCACCAAACATGGTGTCCAGGCAGCCCCCTAGTTGGCTCAACCTTTCTGAAGAGTAGTGATGGCCTGGGGAGGCTGATTCTCACCCAAGAGGGAATCCTCAGGCCCTCCTCCCTTCTCCCCTTGACAAGGGGAAGGCCCCAAGAGCCAGCAGTTCCTCTTGCTGACCCCAGGAAGCAGGCCCCAGCTGAGTCACTGAGAGGCCTTAGTTCCCAGGAAGAAGAAAACTGAAGGGCAGGCATGAGCTGAGCCCCTCGAGGCTGGAGGCAGGAAGCTGAGGGTATGGCTCAGAGGAGGCCAGGGGGTTGTGAAGCTGGAAACTCCAGGGCTCATTAGCATTACTGTGATGAACAACTGTGCAAAAGCTGTACTGAGGTTACTCTCTACCTTCCTCCCTTCAGGATGCAGAGTTCACATACTGCAACTAAAGATCCCACAACTGCCATGAAGTTCTGCATGCCAGAACTAAGACCTCGTATAGCCAAATAAATAAATAAAATGACCCATTTAAAAAAATAATCAAAAGGCACTGTGTCAACATTCAACTGAAACAAGCCCTATTTCTGGAGTATTCAATTACGTAAGCCAATACATTATGTTTACAACTTAAGACAGTTTGAATCAAGCTTTCTGTTCATTACAACTGCTGTCATCTCATTGACATCATTTTTTTTACACTGTTAAAAAAAATTCAATGACAACCAGGAAAATACTGCTTTTCTTCACATTCATATGGAGTTTAGGAAATTATTTTCTTTTCCCCAGGAGAAATAAGCTACAGACAAAACTAGAAGTAGAACCACACTGTAAAATCTGCAAATCCCAGAAGTCTACAACTTGAAGATTTCCCCAGGGACAGGGAAGAAAACAAGTGTCACAAGAGATGAGACAAATACACGTAAGGACAAGCCAGGGAAACAGTTTTCAGCACTGACCCAGACACTGCTGCTAAGTCACTTCAGTCGTGTCCGACTCTGTGTGACCCCATAGACAGCAGCCCACCAGGCTCCGCCGTTGCTGGGATTCTCCAGGCAAGAACACTGGAGTGGGTTGCCATTTCCTTCTCCAATGCATGAAGGTGAAAAGTGAAAGTGAAGTCGCTCAGTCGTGTCTGACTCCTAGTGACCCCATGGACTGCAGCCTACCAGGCTCCTCCGTCCATTGGATTTTCCAGGCAAGAGCACTGGAGTGGGGTGCCATTGCCTTCTCCAGACCCAGACACTAGGTACCCTTTTTCTCCTGGCACCCACTGCCACCACCTCCAGGGGGTGATTTCTGGCCTAAGGTGTGAAGAACTCTTCAAACAACACAAGCTGCTTTGAGGAGAGGTGCAACGAGAGAGGTTCAAGTATGAGTAAGAATCATGCCAAAGTCCAAAGTGTGGGAAGAACCCACAGTGAAATGGAAACCCGTGTGACTACCACCCAGACAGAAAACACTTCCAGCGCTGTAGAAGTCTTCCTAGTTTCCCTTGCTCAGCCCATAATGCCCCAAGTTAATCACTATGGATCATTTATTATAGTTTATGGTTTTGAATGACTATAAGTAGAATCATACCATATTCACTCTTCTGTGGCTGACATCTTTCATTCAACCTTATGTATGTGAGATTCATCCGTGTTGTTGTGTACAGCAGTTCATTCACTTTGATTGCTGTGTAGTTTTCAGATGTATGAATACACCATTATTTACCCATTTTCCTGTTGATGGATATTTGGATTGTTCTTTGTTTTTAATCTATTGTGAATAAAGTTGCTAGGAACACTGTATATACGTGTCTTCTGGTAAACATTACACTCATCTCTCTCGGGCTTGTATCAAACAGTAAACTTGCTAGGTGGAAGGTCAGCTGTAGTAAACACCACAAAAAAGTAAACACACCACAGTTTTCTTTTTTCATGTTCTCTGCCCAGAATTAAGTGAAGATAACCTTACGGAGGTAAGGACAGAAATGGTATGGACCGAACAGAGGCAGAATATATTAAGAAGAGGTGGCAAGAATACACAGAAGAACTGTACAAAATGGTTCTTCATGACCCAGATAACCACGATGGTGTATCACTCACCTAGAGCCACATCCTGGAACGCGAAGTCAAGTGAGCCTTAGGAAGCATCACTACAAACAAAGCTAGTGGAGGTAATGGAATTCCAGTTGAGCTATTTCAAATCCTAAAAGGTGATGCTGTTAAAGTGCTGCACTCAATATGCCAGCAAATTTGGAAAACTCAGCAGTGGCCACAGGACTGGAAAAGGTCAGTTTTCATTCCAATCCCAAAGAAAGGCAATGCCAAAGAATGTTCAAACTACTGCACAATTGCACTCATCTCACATGCTAGCAAAGTAATGCTCAAAATTCTCCAAGCCAGGCTTCAACAGTATGTGAACCGTGAACTTCCAGATGTTCAAGCTGGATTTAGGAAAGGCAGAGGAATCAGAGATCAAATTGCCAACATCTGTTGGATCTCGAGAAACCAAGAGAATTCCAGAAAAACATCTACTTCTGCTTTATTGATTATACCAAAGCCTTTGACTGTGTGGATCACAACAAACTGGAAAATTCTTCAAGAGATGGGAATACCAGACCACCTGACCTGCCTCCTGAGAAATCTGTATGCAGGTCAAGAAGCAACTGGACATGGTTCCAGTTTGGAACTGGACATGGAACAGACTGGTTCCAAATTGGGAAACGCTGTGTCACCTTGCTTATTTAACTTATATGCAGAGTACATCATGAGAAATGCCAGGCTGGATGAAGCATAAGCTGGAATCAATATTGCCAGGAGAAATATTAGCAACCTCAGATACACAGATGACACCACCCTTACAGCAGAAAGCGAAGAACTAAAGAGCCTCTTGATGAAAGTCAAAGAGGAGAGTGAAAAAGTTGGCTTAAAACTCAACATTCAAAAAACTAAGATCATGGTCATGGCATCTGGTCCCATCATTTCATGGCAAATAGATGGGGAAACAATGGACACAGTTCAGTTCAGTTCTGTCGCTCAGTTGTGTCCAACTCTTTGCGACCCCATGAATCTCAGCACGCCAAGCCTCCCTGTCCATCACCAACTCCCGGAGTTTACTCAAACTCATGCCCATCGAGTCGGTAATGCCATTCAGCCATCTCATCTTCTGTCGTCCCCTTCTCCTCCTGCCCCCAATCCCTCCCAGCATCAGGGTCTTTTCAAATGAGTCAACTCTTCACATGAGCTGGCCAAAGTACTGGAGTTTCAGCTTCAGCGTCAGTCCTTCCAATGAACACCCAGGACTGATCTCCTTTAGGATGGACTGGTTGGATCTCCTTGCAGTCCAAGGGACTCTCAAGAGTCTCCTCCAACACCACAGTTCAGAAGCATCAGTTTTTTGGCGCTCAGCTTTCTTCACAGTCCAACTCTCACATCCATACATGACCACTGGAAAAACCATAGCCTTGACTAGACGGACCTTTGTTGGCAAAGTAATGCCTCTGCTTTTTAATATGCTATCTAGGTTGGTCATAAATTTCCTTCCAAGGAGTAAGCGTCTTTTAATTTCATGGCTGCAATCACCATCTGCAGTGATTTTGGAGCCCCAAAAAATAAAGTGAGAGACAATACTTTGGTCACCTGATGTGAAGAACTGACTCCTTGGAAAAGATCCTGATGCTGGGCAAAATTGAAGGCAGGAGGAGAAGGGAATGACAGAGGATGAGATGATTGGATGGCATCACCAACTCGACGGACACGAGTTTGAGTAGGCTTCGGGAGTTGGTGATGGACAGGGATGCCTGGCTTGCTCCAGTCCATGGGGTCACAAAGAGTCAGACACAACTGAGAGACTGAATTGAACTGAACCTTACAGAGAGGAGATTACTGATACTGTGGCTTTCACAATTTTTTCTAAAGGGTGCAGGCAGAAAAGTAATTCATATGAGACCTTACAAATATTAAATCCTATTATGTCAAACAAATGCCATTAAATATGAAACAAAATATTGACTCTATTTCACAATATAGTTTATGGTTAACAAATTTAATATAGAATTTTAAACTACCAATTTAGCTTAATTAAAAGGTATAATTTCATCAATCCTGATTAAATAAAAGCATGTTCAGTATCCTCTCCCTCTGAGATTTTTAAATAGAACAGTTGAGAAAGTTTGATGTTGGGAGTTATGGTTGCCCAACAGTGATATTGGGGCTTCCCAGGTGGTTCAGTGGTAAAGAATCTGCCTGCCAATGCAGGAGACATGAGAGAGGCAGGTTCAACCCCTGGTTAGGGAAGATCCCCTGGAGGAGGGCATGGCAACCCACTCCAGTATTCTTGCCTGGAAAGTTCCAAGGACAGAGCAGCCTGGTGAGCTATAGTCCATGGGGTCACAAAGAGTTGGACACCACTAAGTGCATACACATACACAAAAAATAGTAATTATGCTGATTCCTTTTGAATTAAGTTATTAAGATCACCACTAACCAAACTGCATTAACGGAAAGGTTGTACATACAGTGAATTCTAATGGTATCCTGTAAACATATACATGTACATAGTAGTATTTAACATAGACAAGCAATACTGGCTAGGAGAATTAGTACCCATGCATGGCCCACTAAGCCTTCCCAGTAGCTACCTCCATGGTCAGAAAACTCAACTTGTAAGTAATAACATATTTGTCAAGAAATCAGTACTTATCTCAGGAAGTTTATATTCCCACAGGTAGGGAGTAGCTTATAGTAGATTTTTAAAAATTAAAGTATAGTTGATTTACAATGTTGTATTCATTTCAGGTGTACAATGTAGTGATTCAATATTTTTATAGATTAGACTCCATTTAAAGTTATTATAAAATATTGGCTATATTCCCTATGCTATGTGACAGTTTTCTTATTTACCTCTTACCAGTTCTAGTTATTTCATATCTTTACCAATGCTTGGTACTGTCAATCTTTTAAATTTTAGCCAATCTAGTCAGTATATAGCAGTATCTCATTGTGGTTTTAATTCAGATTTCTCTATGAATTACATTTCTCTAGTGATGTTGAGCACCTTTCCATATGCTTGTTGGCCATTTGGAAATCCTCTATTGTGAAGGGTTGGTTCAAGTCCTTTTTCTTTAATGACTATGGAATTCTTTGAGTCATATTTTGAGTCTATGCATTCATTGTAATGTTCTTTTCCCAGTTTGTGTTTTATCATTTTACTTTCTTAATTATCTTTAATTAATGACCAGAAGTTCTTAGTTTTTATGAAGTCTAATTTATTAGCTTTTGATGGTTAGTACTCTGTCCTGTTTAAGAAATCTTTGCCTACTCCAAGGTTATGAAGATTTATGTTTTTTCTAGAATCTTTATTTGTTTTACCTTCACAATTATGTTGATGGTCTATCTCAAATTAATTTTTGTGAAGGCAGGTAAAGGTACAGGTAAACAGTTACTTGCTCCCACACTGTTTACTGAAAATATCTTTCCCCCACTTAAAGAAGCTTATGTAATTAATTTTCAACCAGTCTTCTTTTCTAGTAAATCTACTTAAATATGCATTGCTTTAGATGCTTCCCATAAGTTTAGAAATTTTTTAAAAAATATTTTTTATTTGGCTGTGCCAGGTCTTAGTTGTGGCACGCAGGATCTTTGATCTTTATTTTCGGCATGTGGGATCTAGTTCTTTGACCAGGGATTGAACCCAGGTCCCCTGCTTTGGGAGCAGGGAGTCTTAGCCACTGAATTGCCAGGGGAGTCCATTCCCATAAGTTTTGATACACTGTTTTAAATTATCATTCAATTTGAAACATTTCTAGTTTCTTTTGTGATTTCTCCTTTGATTCCTGAGTTACTTAGAAATGGGATCGAGAGTAAAGGACACTCAGCACAGCTATGGCAGCCAACCTAGCCCACTGGAGAGGCTGGCTTGTGTTCGTCTTGGCACTCCTGGCAGCACTATAGGTGAGTGAAAGTTCCCACAAGCAGGCAGTGTGTGTGGGGAGACACCTTAGGGTTGAACCTGCCCTGGCATGAGTGCACACACAGAATAACCATGCCTTTTCTAAAGCTCTAAAACATACCCTGGGCCATGAGAGAAAGAAGGGAAAGCAGGCCAGCCCTTCTTTAGCTGAGTAATCAAAGCTAAGTCACTTAAAGCTTTCTGATCTGTAAAACGGGGATGCTAATGTTTAGTTCCATGTTCTCCGTGCATGCTAAGTCACTTCAGTCGTGTCCCATTCTTTGTGACCTCAAGGACTGTAGCCTGCCAGGTTCCTCTGTCCATGGGATTCTCCAGGCAAGAATACTGGAGTGGGTTTCCATGCCCTTCTCCAGGGGATCTTCCCAGCCCAGGGATCAAATCTGTATCTCCTCTGTCTCCTGCATTGGCAGACAGGTTCTTTACCACTAGTGCCGCCTGGGCAGTTCCATATCCCACTGACAGTACACGCAATGGGAGTCTTCCTACGGGACATTAGGTAAACCTTAGCAGGTAAACAGATGAGGCCAGGAGGAAAACTTGCCTCTATGACAGGTCCTGACACAATGCCTGCCTTTGGCCAGAGCTGGGAGGAGGACCCCTACCCGGGGCTTTGTGGAGACAGTTAATGCAGGGCCTACAGAGACAAAATTGGGAAGTGGTGACCAGTGGGGCTGCTGGTGGGGGCCATCCTATGAGCTCTTCCCCCCATACCAGGCAAGGGCTTGCTGCCTGGGTGAGATGTGCCCCAGGGGTCTGGTTTCAGCTGGAAGGTTATCCTTTCCATCCAACACCCCCAGATGACTGCTCCCCAACAGGACTCAATCCCTTCCCAGCTCCCATACCTACACCTCCTAGACCTTCTTTGTAGCTGGAGGCAGAGGGGATGAGGAGGGGTATTGCAGAAAGGAGTGAGTCCAGAGAACTCTGGGAGCAGCTGCAGCTCTCTCTGCTTTCTTGAGCTGATCTTGGGCTCACTTTGAACCTGTCAAGCCAGGTACCGTCATACCTCTGTGCCCATTACCCTAGGCTGCATTTTTTGCCTATGTCCAGATTTCCTGTAGCCTCTGTTCTTACCTGTAAGGAAATGAGTGGCAGAGGTGAGCAGGTAGGCGGATCCCTGGGTCTTTAGCAGAAAGAGTAGTTGCTAGGTTGAGAATCATTTCCAGACAGTCCAGCGGTTCCTGCTTCGCAATCACCTTTGCTCCCAGGGCTGCAGCTGAGCCACTAAACATCCTTACAGAGTCAGGTTGCTCCATTCTATGGGTGTGAAATAGAAACAATTCAGGAGACATCCCAAGTGCCCCCTCCCTAGTTTAATAGTGCCATGCCTCTGTGGAGGGTTGCTAGGGACTCAGTTTCACTCCCCAGAAACTCTGCTGTACTCAGGGGTCCTCTTATCACTTGGAATGGAACAAGCTCTCCACCACTTTGGTGGATTTCTTGGGAGTGTGGTGGTTGGTGTACTGCTTTGGATATATTGAGGGCAGGGATAACCTTCTACTGAGGCAGAAGGTAGGGTCCTGCAACATCTCCAAAGACTGAAGATTGTACTCAGAAAAGTAGGACCTGGCAGGGAGGAGGAGGGACTGGTTATCTCTCTGGGTGTCTGGAGATTTGGATACTGGGGTTTGCAGATGTCTTCAGAAGGGGCTGAAGCTGGAGTTGAGAATGCCCTTTGCCACCTTGGAGGGGTCCATGTGTCCAAATTGCAAGTCACATGCTACGAGTCATATTGGGTGGTCCTATCTGTCTTCCTTGGACCTTTTCAGAAGTTTCATCTGAGCACTCCATCCACAGCTCAGCTGTTCTGCGGGCCTCCAATTAAGGCCCCACCATCTGCATGGAAGGGGAGGCCTGTGTGGGGAGAGGAAGAGGGAGTTAGAGCGAGGTCTGAGGGGGAATGAGTGTCTCTGGGCCTGAGCCCTCTTACAGTCAGGGGAAAGGGTGTTCCATCCAAAAGCTGGCCCTGCACCATGCCCCACTCTCCCTGGCTTGACCTCAGCCTACACTTTCATGGCAACAGGCAAACCCATGAAGTTTGGTTGACCCCAGAATCAGGAGCTTCAGGTCATCACGGTGTCTGACTTAGCCTTTAAGTCTAGATGCCTTGGCACAGTGCTGGTCTTGACGCATGCGCTCAAACAGTTCCCGCATGAATGGGAGAATGGCAAGCACTGGTTTTCGTGCAACAAACACGACTCTCCCACCTAGGGGCTCCTGATCACAGTGGGACGCCCCTCAGGTGAGGGCTCAAGAGACACCAGCCTGGAATATCTAAATATACATCTCTTCAAAGACATACAGATGGCCAATACACACACGAAAAGATGCTCAACGCTGCTTATTATAAGAGAAATGCAAATCAAAATTATAGTGAGGTACCACCTCACATTGATCAGAATGGTCATCTTAAAAGCCTACAAATAGCAAATGCTGGAGAGGGTGGTGAAGAAAAGGGAATCTTCCTACATTGTTGGTGGGAATGTAAATTGACACAACCATTATGGGTAACAGTATGGAAGTTCCTCAAAAAACTAAAAATACAGTTGCTATATGATCCAGCAATCCCATTCCTGGGCATATATCCAGACAAAACTATAATTCAAAAAGATACATGCACCCCTACATCAATAGCAGTACTACTCCTAATAACTAAGACAGGGAAACAAGCTAAACGTCCACTGAAAAATGAGATAAAGATGTAGTATATATACACAATGGAATATTACTCAGTTGTTAAACAGAACAAAATAATGCCATTTGCAGCTACATGGATCGACCTAGAGATTATCACACTAAATGAAGTAATCAGAAAGAGAAAAAACCAATACCATATGAACATCACTTAAATGTGGAATCTAAAATATGACACAAATGAACTCATCTACAAAATAGGAGCAGACTCCCAGACATAGAGAACAGACTTGTGGTTGGTGAGTGGGGGGCAGGAGGGGTTAGATTGTGAGTTTGGGACTAGTAAATATAAACTATTATATATAGAATGTATAAACAACAAGGTCCTATTGTATAGCATAAGGAATTACAGTCAATATCCTGTAATGAACCATAATGGAAAAGAATATGTAAAAGAAGACATGTATGTATAACTGACCCACTTTGCTGTACTCCAGAAACTAACACATTATATCAACTATACTTCAGTCAAAAAATTACATATATATACACATAGAGAGAGAGAGAGAGACAGACAGACAGAGAGGGAGAGAGACAGAAACAGAGAGGGAGGGCAGCCCTACAGATGAGCCATGGGGTTGGGGGGGTGGGGGTGGGGGAAGTGTTCCAGTGGGGATCTGGGTATCAGGATAAAGCTAGATTGGGAGCGCCAGTGGGTGCTCTGCTGCTCCCTGCAGGATATTGCAGGAACAGCACCCCTGGGGTGAGGACTAAATTGCTGGAGGAAAAAGAGGTGACATGCAGGGTTCAAGCAACCCTCTTTGTCCCCACACTTGATATCTGGCACAGAGCATTCACATTCTCTCCTTCCTCCTCCTTGAAGCCAGGGTCCCGATGCCTGGGGCCTGTCCCCAGCCTCACGAAGTAGTCTCTGTATCTCCCCAGGTCTCCCAAATCCTCCATCCGGGACACATTTCTGAAGCTCCTTCTGCCAAAAAGCCTTGTCTTGGGAACATCAGGCCAGTTTCAGACCTGAAAAATCACTCATGCAGTGTTTGTATTCAGCAGATGGAAAGGGCTCCCAAGGAGCCTTTGTAGACTACTAGGTGTAGGCAACACTGTTCGTCAGGAAGGAAGACAAATGTAAGGATTAACAAATACTATGAAAATAGAAAATGATAGAAAGGCAGGAACTTAACTGTAACAAAATTCGAAAGATCAAGCCAAAGGCTGATTACTTGTAAAACTTATAAAATTTGATAAGCCAATGGAATATTAACTTTAAATACTGATGCACAAGTCATAGATACACATAGAGATAAATAGAGATATAGAGCTGTAACAAGAAACCCACAGATCATGCTTTGGGCCAATTCAGTGTTAGGAACGTGGCTGGGTAAAACTGAGCTGCGGGCAGGAGGAGGATGGGGTGGGAAAGGGCATCAATAAATGTTTATTACGGAAAATTTCAAATATATACAAAAGTAGTAGTATCAGGATAATGAGGCCCATGTACTCATCACCCACCTTCAACAATTACCAACTCCACTAACAATTTTGTTTCATCTATATCACCTCCTGCTATTCCCCCACCTCAGATTATTTTGAAGCAAACCTCATATTTCATATCATTTTATCATTAAATACATTATTTTTCTTTAAAAGAGAACAATGCTTTAAAAAATCATGAGTACAGTACCATCATCACAAGTAAAAAAGTTAACAATTATTCTTTAATATCTTTAAATATCCAATGTTTATATTTCTCTGGTCATTCTGTTTTTATATTTTTTGGGGGGTGGCACCATGCTGTGTGGCATGGCTTCCCTGGGGGCTCAGAGGGTAAACCGTCTGCCTGGAATGCGGGAGACCTGGGTTCAATCCCTGGGTTGGGAAGACTCCCTGGAGAAGGAAATGGCAACCCACTCCAGTATTCTTGTCTGGAAAATCCCCTGGACGGAGGAACCTGGTAGGCTACAGCCCACGGGGAAGCAAAGAGTTGTACACGACTGAGAAAGAGTTGGACACGACTGAGCCACCTCACTTTCACTTTCATGCTGTGTGGCATGTGGTATCTTAGTTCCCTGACCAGGGATCAAACCCAAGACCCCTGCATTGGGAGCATGGAGTCTTAACCACTGGACCACCAGGGAAGTCCCTCCACTATGTTTTGATGGTTGTTTTTCTTGATTGTCTTCCCCATCAGACCTAACCAGGGACCTGGGCAGTCCCTGAGACCAACACCCTGTGTCCACATACCCAAGTGAAGACAGCCACTGAGCTCCAGATGATAACCTATGGTTTCCAACCACTTTCAAGGACTTCTCAGGCCTCGCCTGGTCAGAATAGCCCATGTGAACCTGGGCTGCAAGTCCCAACAGCCTCTTCATCCTCCTGCTGTCTTCGGTCAGTTCAGGTTGAACATTGAGTCCTGAAAGCTGATTCAGCCTACATCCCTTTCCCCAATTGGCAAGCGTGTGATAAAGTGCCCTTTGGGGAGGTGGTGGTGAGGGGAAGCTGGAGCAGGAAGTCCTGTGCATCCCACCATCTCTATGAAAGAGCAGTCCTCACACTTGCCTCGTGCTGATGCGACCAGGCGTGGGCAAAAGTCTGACAACACAGGGCGGAAAGGAGCAGCCATTAGCACTAATGAAGCAGGCGGTCTGAAAGCTTTTTACTTTGAAGCTGCTCGCCCACCTGGGGAGGGAACAGTCCGTTCGGTCACCTTGGTTTCCAGGAACCGCAGGCAGAAAATGGTGTGGGGGTAGGAGCAGGGGTGGGATCTTGGAGAAGCCTGGAGGAAGGGGGAGCAGAGATAGATCCAGAGAGGGAGGTAGAGGGCCTGATTTTGGCTGAGTGGTCTTTTGCCCTCCTTACTCCTCTCCAAAACCTAGAGTCTGGGTCTGCACCCCAACCCCACTCGGCTTTGGCTACTGGCCCATCACCCCCCCTTTCAGTGCCTTTGACCCAAGTTCCTGGAAGCAAAGGAAACATGCCATGCGTAGGGTCTGAATGACCATCTCCGGGGCCACAAATTAAATTAAGCGTTCAGGGCTGCCTGCCTGGTTACTGCTAATGACTCCAGCCTACCCATCCCCCAGGTCCCTTTCCTGCAGAAATTTGGGGGCCCTGGGCACCCTATCTTGTTCCCAAATTTTGATGGGCTCCTGGAACCCTCACTCCAAATTGGAGATGAGCACCCCGCTTCTAGAGCCCTGGTTCCAGTGAGAGAGGCCTGAATTGTGCTCCCACCTTCTGGGGAGGGCCCCTCATACCCTGGCTGCAGGAAGCAGTCACGTGTGGGCCCTTCATTAGATCCTGCCATATAAGCTGGGGACACGGAATGGTCAGCAACTCCTGGGACGAGGATCCAGCAAGCAGAGGTAAGTCCTCAGGTTGGGCTGAGACTCCTATTCTCTAGGGGTCTGGGATAGGGCACCTAGAGGGTGCTCCAGGGATGAAGAGAGGCTAAGTGGTGGGTTTTCCCACTCAGCCAGGCCATGCTGACCGCAGTACTGCTGAGTTGTGCCCTGTTGCTGGCAATGCCCACCATGCAGGGGGCCCAAATGGGTTCTGCTCCCCTGGAAGGCATTGGAAGGCCCGAGGAAGCCTTATTCCTAGAGCTCCAAGGTCAGTGTGGGCAGTGATGGGGCTGGGTGGGGCCTGGACGCCCTCTGGTCACAAATTGTTCTGCCTTGTGTTAGTCTCTTTCCCCTTCCTCAATCCCAGACCTGGGAGGCAGGTGTCTTGTGCATGGGGGGTTTCTGCCCTCACATTACCTGTCTCAGGCATAAGCCTGCAGCCATTGCTGAAGAGGACAACGGAGGAACAGGATGAAGAGGCGCTGCTGCAGGAAGCAGAGGACAAGGCCTTAGCAGAGGTAACTGCTCAGGGCAAGGGACGTGGCCACAGTCTTTAAATGGGGGGCGTCAACCTCTATCTCTACTTGACCCTCTCACCTGAGGCAACACGGCAGACCATCCCTCCCCAAGCTCCACTCCTCTCCTAACTTGAACAGGGCAGGTCCCTGAACCTGCCTTTGGAGGCCCATGTTCCCCAAACCCTGCAGGTGCTAGATCCGGAAGGACGCAAGCCACGCTCCCCACGTCGCTGCGTAAGGCTGCACGAATCCTGTCTGGGACACCAGGTACCCTGCTGCGACCCGTGCGCCACTTGCTACTGCCGTTTCTTCAACGCCTTCTGCTACTGCCGCAAGTTGGGTACCACCACGAACCCCTGCAGCCGCACCTAGCTGGTCGACATCCGGGTCAGGGCTGGGGGGCACCAATAAAAGGATGGGACCAATCCCAGGGTTGTGGCGTTATTTCGAACGTGACCGTCGTCGGAGGTGGGGGAGGTCACGGCAGGGTGGAGGTTCCTCTAAGCCACGACACCACACACCCCCTCCCCTCCCCCCTTACTCCAGGGCCTGCGTTATCCCATCACGAGTCACTTACATGTGAGCTCTTAGAGCGCCAGGCGCCGCTGGGAGAAACAGAGGAGGGCCGCGCTCCTGCTCTTGAGAATCCTTGATGATAAATGCGCGGAAGGGGACACAGGGAGGCAGAGGGGTTGTACCTCCCAGCATGCTAACAAGCCTCAGGCTCCAGGGCCTGCTTGCGGCTAACTCGACGCGTGACCCCTAACGAAGCCTGGCCCTCACCCGACCTCAGTCCCTCTCAGGGGAAGGATGGCTCAACAGTTTGGAATATTTCCAAGCATAAGAAGGGACGCCCATTCTTATCTTTACTTCTGGGGCCGCCACAGCACCAAGGTGTACCAGACTCAGGAGATCTGGAGTGAAGGCCCAATCGAATCCCCGCTTCACGGGCGCCACCAAGCGGTTGGCCTGGAACATTCCAACCCGCTCTCTCTAGGGAGCAGGACGGCCGCCCCCGCCTGCCCTCAGCGCGCAGGCGTCAGAGGGCAGCGCCAACCGCCCCCCCACCCCCGCCCCAGCCTACACCTGCGCAAGCGTTCTGCGCCGAAACCATCCGGAAGTGGAGCCCCGCCCCGTCGTTGTCACGTGAGCCGCTTGCGCGTCACCTGACGCACTTGACAGCCCGCTGCGGCCGCCGCGTCAGCTGATCTTAAGAGTTGTGCTGCGTGCCGGCCGGTCCGGGCCCTCCGGTCCAGCCGCCCCGCTGCAGCCATGTCGTTCTTCCCGGAGCTTTACTTCAACGTGGACAATGGCTACTTGGAGGGACTGGTGCGCGGCCTGAAGGCTGGGGTGCTCAGCCAGGCGGACTATCTCAACCTGGTGCAGTGCGAGACGCTCGAGGGTGAGCCGCGGGGGCCGGGCTGATGGGCCTCGAAAGGCAGGCAAGGAGATCGAGCCGGGCCTGAAGGTTCTGAGGTCTGGGAGGGGAATCTGGGGGTGCTTGAAGGGCCTTAGAGGTCGGGGAGCCGGATCTGGGCCTGAAAGGCCTGCTGGGAATCCGGGGGCTGATGGGTGCGCCGGAAGGGAATGTACCTCAAGCTGCGGCTCAGTGAAGGCCCAAACGCAAACGAAGCTTTAATTAAGAACCGCAGTGGTTCGCCTCTGCTGGGGCCACTTCTTCCCCCGTTTTGTCCGACGTGTAGTTTGGAAGAGAGGGCCTCATGGGAGTGGTTAGTTGCTGCTAGATGTGCTCATACAAGTCTCTTTCCCCTGACGTAGCGAGAGAGCTGTCTCCTGGCAGCGCTTATGGAAGCTAAACGGAAAAAAGTCCCCTGCTTTCCCTCCCAACACGTACACCAAGGCCTTTGGGATCATTGTGTTTTCCTGCGGAGTGAGCCTTTCGGGAGAATTGCTGGGCCAGCTTAGGTAGAGTTTCCTTCCGTCGCCGATCCACTGGCTGAGCAGTCTCCTGAAGGCAGTGTTTGGGAGAGCCCTGAAAGTCTGGAAGTTCATACACGTGTATCTGACAATAATTCCCACCCCATCCATGAGGATGCATTGAGATAGGGTTGCTTAGCACAGGAGTGGTGAGAAGCGGAGTTTCCCTTCCCAGGACGCGCAGCTCCAAAGTGGGATTGACTCCCTGAGGCACAGCATCAGATTTACTGAAGTAGCGACTTCCCCGAGTCCAGCCTTCTCTTCTTCCTCTCGCTTCCCACCCCTGCCCCCAGGTGGTAGTGAAGGGCACAGTGGCTGGGCAGTGAGTTCCCATCCCTGACCTCCAGGTGATACGCCTTGAACAGAGGTACTGCTAGCCTTCTGGTTGGTAGCTGGAGCGGGAAGATGGCCGGATGATTCACCTTCAGGAGAAAATTTTCTCATAAATTTACTGAGGTTAAAAGTGAGCTCAATTAAAAAAAAAAACAGTTACTATGGACCTTGCAAACTAGGCCAGTGATGTGAAAATAAATCCTTAAAAATTTTAAAACTTACAGTTCAGATACAATTGTGGGCAATATGGCTTTAACGTAAATGTGCAAAATGTCTTTCACCTCCCTGATGAGAGTGGTTGTGCTGGGTTGTAGGAACTTGCCAGCAATCTCATTGTCCTCACTGTGGTAAACAGAGGAGAAACAGAGGCTGCACAGGGCAGGGCTTGGCACACAGTGGTATTTAATGGGAATTTTACGGACTGACTGGGACTGGAGGAACATCTTTGTTTGCTTAAATCTGAATGTGGACAGCATAGATTACCAGCTGGCATTTGATAAATTTGTTTCTTTTTTAGGCTTTCCTCACTCCTGCTGCTGCCCTCCTGCCCCACCCCTGTAGAGTTTCTGGGGGCACAGAGTTCCCAGAAGATCTTTTATCAACCTCCATAAACACATTAGGCCATTCTTCCTACAGCACTGCTCACACATGGTCCCCTTGTGGATCACCATCCAGTCCTTTAGTGTGACATTCAGGGATTCCCTCACTCTTTCACACATGTTTCTTACCCTCATGTAAGCCACTCCCGACTTTTGGTGCACATTTTGTGATGGACTTTGGACTTTCAAATCTGACTAAATCCCAGCCCCACCAATTACTCAATCACCTAATTTAACCAAGTTATTCAACACCTCTAGGCCTTGGATCCTTCATCTGACACATTAACAGTGCCTTTCTCACCAAATCCTTAGATAACAACAAGTTGTTATGTGTAAAACACTTAGCTCAGCAACAAGCACTGAGATAGATAAATGTTAGCTCCTTTCAGTATTATTTGCGTTAGCCACTTCCTCTGTTCTTTCTTATCCTGGTGAAGCCCAGTGATTCTTACTCTTTAAGGCCCAGACCCTGTACCAATCCATCTTAGAACCCCTTTGTGGCCATGCTAGTCTGGAATTTTGCCCCCCTCCATCCAGTTGCAGCTCTTGTGGTATCTGTGCTGCTTTCCTAGAAATTACTTAACATAGAGTTTGAGATTCTTGGGACTCTGCTGGATGTGCTCAGGAATTTCAGGGGCTGGAGATAACCAGAGGCAGGAAGAAGTGCCCAGAAACTCCTCTTGTCCTCTACAAGAAGGCCTTCTGAAGGCCTGGCCTTCAGCCCTTTGTTGCTGAATGCTTTTGCCTCCCTTTTCTCCAGGGAAAAGGGAAAGAGTGGGGAGGAAGGTGGGAACGAGAGACCAAGGAAGCCTGTGGTCCCTGGTGAGATCCGTAGCTGTATCCTGAGGAGAGGAGGCTTCCAATGAATATGTTTAGAAATGGGACAGTTTCCAGAAGGCTTGGGGCATTGGGTGGTGAGTGGGTGTTTGTTCTGCGAGGTAGGGCGGGTACTTCTTGACCCTCCACCACACCCTAGCCCTCCTTCCTGCATTCCACTTCATCAGCGCATCTGCTACTGACCTCTTTTGCTAGAACTCAGTCTCTTCGGACCTCTGAAGTCCATGTATCCTCCATTGTCCACCTTGCCTGTCTCTTCTCAGAGGTAGGAGAAAGTCCTACCACTTGGTGAACTGAGGGACGGAGCTGGGTGGTCACAGAAGCTCTTCCCAGCTCTTAAGTATTTCTGCATGTGCTTAATACCTCCTGGAAGCTGGGTCCTGTGCCTAGGGACTTGTGGGGAAGAGGAGGTGGGTTAGAGATAAAGAGAAATCCCATAGTGTTACTTTTTTTTTTTCTTTTAACACAGTATTACTTTGAATACTTTCATCCATTCCACATATACTTACGGAGCACCTGTTTTATGCCAGGCACTGTAGTAGGGTTTGAGTTACTTTGTGAATAATGTTCTCTTGTTCCCTTATGGTCTGAGGGTGGAGACTAAAAGGGGCCAGGAAAAGATAAGCAATCAGTGTAGCAGTGTGGTTACAAATGTGGGTTTATTACTTCATGGCTCTGTGGCTGTGTAACTGCTCTGTCCTGAATTTCATCAATTGCAAAAGGGTAATAATAATAAATAAAATTATATATACATATATATTTACTGATGGAGTGATTGTAAAGGTTAAACAAAATAATTCTTGTAGGCACTTCCCTGGTAGCCCAATGGTTAAGACTCTGCATTCCAATGCAGGGGGCATGGGTTTGATCACTAATGGGGAGCTAAGATTCCACATGCCTCACAGTGTGGCCAAATAAATAAAGAGAACTGTTTAGGAAAAAAAAAAAAGATAATCCCTGTAAAACACTTGGCACATGGTAAGTAGTCAGTGTGTTAACTGCTATTACTGCTATGGCAAAGCAAAGGAATATTAAGGGTGATGATTGTGAAAAGGTCAGTGGAGAAGTGATGGAGAATCAGAGGTGAACTCTCTTTAAAGAGGGCTGGTTAAGGCCTTGCTGAGAAAAGGATTTTCCAGCTGAAGTGTGAACCATGAGGAGCCAGCTGAGCAAGAGCTGGGGTGGGGATGAGGTGGGGTGCGCCGGGCAGGAGCATTTCAGGCAGAGAGACCAGCATGTTGGGGAGAAATAGTTGGGCCATCAGCGGGACCAAAAGGAGTCCTGGCTGGTGGGGTTTGGGGGATGGGAACACAAATCTGGGAATTCAGACCCTTGGTTTAAAAAAATTGGGGTGAGGGACTTCCCTGGTAGTCCAGTGGTTAAGAATCTGCCTTGCAGTGCAGGGGACATGGGTTCAATCCCTGGTCAGGGAACTAAGATCCCACCTGCCTTGGAGCAGCTAAGCCCCCGCAGCACAACAATGGAAGCATGTATGCCTCAACTAAGACCTGTTGCAGCCAATGAATAAAATAAAAATTTTTTTAAAAATTGGGGTGAGCCCAGGAGAGGAAGCCCCTGGCCCCTCAGCACTGGACGTGGGGACAGAGAGAGTGGTGGCTTGGGGCACCACCTTCTGCAGAGGCTGGCTGAATTCAAGGTGGTTGGATGTGACTAAGTGAACATATTTCAGATCGTGAGGAATATGTGTAGTAATATTTTGATGTTCGTGTCTTCATTTGTTCATTCAAAAACACACTTCCTGAAGGCTTACTCTGTGCAAGCTTCTGGGCCAAATAAAAGAGCCAAGTAGGTGTTCCAGGCATTAACATAGTTCTGAGCTTGAGCCCTCAGCTTTGACCTTGGCTTCAGCCTAAAAACATTGCTATTAATTTGACTGGCTGCTGGGAATACAAGTATGAATGAGGCTCTGGCTGTGCCATCCAAAATCTCCCCTTTCCTTTTAAAAAGTGCTCATTATTCTCTTTCATTTATTATGGAAATCATTAAACATATATACATTGGAGGAAATAGTATAATGAACCTGTAAGTAATAGACACCTAATTACAAGTTGTTCAGTTCTTGTTACCTTTATCAATCTTGTGTCAGTAATAGCTGCATTTATCACCCCACTCCAATTATTTTGAAGTCAATCCCAGGCAGTGTATCATTTCAGCTATAAATATTTTGGTGTTTCTAAAAAAGATCATGACTTTTTTTGTTAACATAACCACAACCCTATTGTTCATCCTTTAAAAGAAACATTAGTTTTGGGTGTCATCAAATATCCATTTAGGGTTTAAATTTGTCTGATTGTCTCAAATGATTTTTTAATACAATTTGTTTGACTTGGAGTACAGTTATGATCCATCAATCAAGCAATTGATGCTATCACAAGTCTTTTAGTATATAGGTTTTCTCTCTCACTTTTCCTTTTATTTGTTGAAGGAGCTGGGTCAATTATAGATTTTTTATATTTTATTATAAAATCTATTAATTTATAGATTTTCCTTTTTTTAATTAATGTAATTGGAGGCTAGTTACTTTACAATATTGTAGTGGTTTTTGCCATACATTGACATGAATCAGCCATGGGTGTACATGTGTTCCCCATCCTGAACCTCCCTCCCACCTCTCTATAGATTTTCCTTCATCTCAGTTTTGCTTGTTTTATCTCTGCTGTAACATGTCCTTTGT